CCCTAATTTCCAAACTGATATATTTCTCTTTCTCACAAATGCAGAAAAGTGCAAAACAGAAAATGAGTATCACCTCAGCTCTCAGTTTCCATGGTTACTCATTGTTAATGTTCTGGGTCTTTCCTCCTGAGTGGCAACTCCAGCACACTGTGACGTGGGCTGCAGTGGTCCATGTAAGCAAGACAGCTTCTTATTAAGGGACGTGGACAGCCACCTTCACCTGCAGGGACAGATTTCATGCCTCTGTGAAGGGATCGTCTCAGCCACCTTTCTTGATAATGCATTAGAAATCAATTAGAAATCAGGATTTTGATTTGAGTTTATTCTGACTTTTTTTTTTTTTTTTTTTTTTTTTGGTGAACCGGGGATTGAACTCAGGACCTTGTGCTTGCTAGGCAAGCCCTTATTCTACTGAGCCATCTCCCTGGCCCTATTCTGATTTTTTTTTTTTAATTTATTATTACATTTATTTATTGTGTGTGTGTGTGGCCAGCTCAGCCCACCAGGGGGCGGGTCTGGCTGGCATGTGGTGCTGGGGATCGAACCGCGGTCCCTGTGCTTTGCCAAACTTGTTTCAAGTAGGTGCTTTAGACCACTGAGCCATCTCTCCAGCCCTATTCTGATTTTTTTTTTCAAGTATATTTGATTGCTTTTTTTTCTCCTCAAAATATTATACTCTTTTCCTTTAATATTTATTTATTTGTTACAGGGTCTCACTATGCATCTCTGACTTGTAGTGATCCTCCCGTTTCTGCCTCCCCAGCACTGGGATTACAGGTGTGTGCCACCATGCCCAGTTTTGGTGGTTGGCACAGTACTCCTGGGGTTCTGGGGCTGGCATGGCATGCAATACCAGAGATCAAACTTGGGTCCTTGCACTTGCCAGGCAGGTGCTTAGACCACTGAGTTACTGAGCTATTTCCCCAGCCCAGAACCCCAGGCGTGCCGTGCCAGCCACCGAAACCAGGCATGGTGGTGCATGCCTGTAATCCCAGTGCTGGGGAGGCTGAGACAGGAGGATCATTATAAGTCTGAGCTGTGTAGTGAGACCCTGTACCAAATAAATATTTAGAAGGTTTTTAACAAATACATATTTAGGAGTGGAGTTGTGGTAGAGTTCTTGTCTAATGTGGATGAGGCCCTGTGTTTGGTCTCTAATACTGAAATGAAAAGGCTTATTTACCTCATTTATTAGATTTTCAAGGTCTGTGATAGTTAACTTTTGCATAGTATCTTACTGTATGGAGCACTGACCTTTTGTAGAAAGGTCCTGAACCAGAGTAGGTGAGCAATTAAACCGTATCAGCATTCTGAGGCATGACATACCATATTTTAGCCCCCAGGGCTGGGGTGAGATTACAGTGTATAGCTCCAGGAGGTCCTAGCTCTCCGGTTGGGTGTCCAGTAGATAATCCATCCCAATCCTTCAACTGGGGAGAAGAGGACTGAGAGAAGGTCTTGCTGTGTAGTCCAGGCTAGCTTCTAACTCACAGTCCTGCCTCAGCTTCCCGAGTGCTGGGACTCCTTGTGAGTCTGTCCCTGTTGCTCAGCTTGATGCTTAAACATTTGAGGGCTGAATGTCTTGTACTATTTTTATGAGGAACACTCCCCAACCCCCCTTTTTTCTTCCCCAGTCCTGAGGATTAGACCCAGGCCCAGGACTTTTACCCTGAGCGATATCCCCACCCCTTTTAAAAGTATTTTATTTTGAGACAGGACCTTGCTAAGTCACTAAGTTGCTTAGGCTGGTCTTTAAATTTAGGATCTTCCTGTTTCGTTGTCCCAGAGTGGTGAAATTACAGGCGTGTGCTGCCATGCCTGGCTGTATGGGGAGATGCCTTTTCCCCAGGTTTTCTGTTTTGTTAGTGTATGTGTGCAGCACACACCGGTTGCGTTCCTTGCAGGAGTCAGCGCAGGTGCAGAACACGCGCCAGTGCTTGTCTCTGTTCCTCTTGCTCCTCTGCCCCCTTCCCTTTTGCATAAGATCTTTTCCCTGTTTTCTATTCTTTTTTGTTTTGCTTTTCATTTATATTTTGGGTTTCTCAGAGAAACCATGCACTATTTAATATTTAAGCTCGTGTGTCCAATTTAGTTCACTTAGCATCATGGTCTTACAGTGCATCCATTTTCCTACAGATAACTCAAGTTTATCCTTCTTTGTGACAGAGTAGTGCTCAGTTGTATATAAACACTGCACGATCTTTATCTGTCTGTTAGTGGATGTATAGGCTGATTCCAGGCTTTAGCTGCACTTTTTTGTTGTTGTTGTTTGTTTGTTTTGTTTGGCAGAACCAGGGATTCAACTCAGGCCCTTGCTCTTGCCTGGGAAGTGCTTATTCCACTGAGCCATCTCCCCAGCTCCTAAAATTTTGTCAGTTGCACTTTGTGTTTTTTTTTTTTTGGCGGAACTGGGGATTGAACTCAGGCCCTTGCACTTGCCAGGGAAATGCTTATACTACTGAGCCATCTCCCCAGCCCCCAGGCTTTAGCGATTGTGCATTGTGCTGCCTCAAACACAGGTATGTGTTTATTACAGTGTGATATCTTTTAATTCTTTCGGGAAGATGCCTAGAAGGGGATGAGCTAGATTGAATGGAATGCCATTTTAGCCTTTTGAGGACTCTGTAAAACTGATTTTCTTTTTTTTTTTTTTTTAAACTGATTTTCATAGTCGTTGTACTAGTTTCCATTCCCACCAACAGTGTAGAAAGATTTGTATGAGGAAATATTTTAAGGACCTGCGTACCATAGTAGGTCCTCAGGAAGGTGATACTTGGCTAACAAATCTTGAAGTTCACTATGAAAAGCACTTAATTTCTGCTAAATAAAAAGCTTAGACTTGTGTTGGTGTTACGGAGTTGACTGTGACAAAATCCCTGCTGTCTAGGGATGACCATGTACGGGGCGAGGGTAACTGGCTGGAAGGCAGTATGACAGTGCTTTGCTGGGGCTGTGACTGCCCTCAGAGGGTGCAGTGGGGGAGAGCCTCGCCAGGGAAGGCTTTCTTCTAGCCTTGGCCCCTGGCAGTTTGTTCCAGCAGGAAGGGGATGGATTAGTGCAGACAGGCTGCGGAATTGGAATGGATCTCAGGCTCTGCGTGAAGTGCACGCCGCCTCCTGCGGCTGCCCTCACGCTTCTGCACCGCCTCCCCACAGCAGCCTCCCTTCTTCCCCTACCAAACTGTATCAGACTGCAAAGTTATTCTTCCTTCATATGTAGTTTAAATTTTAATAGCTAATATATTTACAAAGCTCATAATTTAAAACTATGCAAAGATAGCCATTATAAGCTTGTGATATAAAACTATATAAATGAGATTTCAGTTCTCTCACGTGTTCTAGGTAATCATTTTGGTATTTATGTTTCAGCTCCTACGTGTGTGGAGAACCCCTTTAATTGGTTTTGTATATCTTTCCTTTCAAAGCTCAATTATAAAGCAATTACATGAAATGAAAATACCTATTATTTTCCCTTTTTACTACACGAGAGCCAGGATGCTGGCCTCATATGGTATGTTTGGTTCAGCATTCTGAGACAGGGTCTTGCCATGGAATTCGGTTTGGCCTTGAAGTCACCATGTAGCCCAGATTGGCCTTGAACTCATGATTATGATTATGCCATCATGCTTGGCTTCATTTCTTATTTATTTATTTATTTATTTATTTATTTATTTATTTTGGCGGAACCGGGGATTGGACTCAGACCCTTGCACTTGCCAGGCAAGTGCTTATTCTATTGAACCATCTCCCTGGCCCCCTTTCATGATTTTTTGACAGTGTATCTTGGTGGTCTGATTCAGTGTCCCTACCATTATTTCCTGTTCTGCATTCTGTCTGGTTTGCAACTGACTGTTTTCCATGTGGATGTGCAGACAGTGTTGACCAAACTTTTGAGATTGTCTTTTCCAGTTTCAGATGGGTTTGTCCAAGTAACTCCCTGAGAAATTACCAAGGGTTGATGTTGCTTTCAGGGTCTCAGAGAGAGAGGGAGAGGGAGGGGAAGAGGGAAAGGGGAGGGAGAAGAGGGGGAGGGAGAGGGGGGTGGAGAGCTGTCCAGACTGAAGGACGTCTCACTTGAGTAGGAGACAGGCACTCAGCCCTTCTAGAAGCTGCCCAGGTAGTCTCAGTAGGAGTCTTTGTCAACAAAGGTGACATTTAAGTCACTTGGGCTAGCAGCTCCCTTCTGTTTCACATGGTGGCTGTCTTGGAGGTCTCCCCACATCCCTGTTCTCCTACTTCCTTTCCCATGCCCTGCCCTCTTTGCCCTTTTGCTTATTATTTTAGCTTTTGAGATGGGGCCTCACTTCGTGGTTCAGGTTGGCCTTGGACTCGCTGTGTAGCCCTCAATGGCCTTGAACTTTCGGAGATCCTCCTGCCTTAACCTCCTCCGTGCTGGGATTACAGGCTGTGCCACCATTCCCAGCTTCTTTTTCCACTTGTTCTTCTCCTGCTTTTTTTCCTTTGAGTCTGCTTTTTCTGGGGCTGGCGTGCAGGCTACTCTGTTCCCTCTAAGCTTGAAGAACTTTAAAAGCAAAGAGAACTAGTTAAGAGAGTAAACAATCAGAAGTGGGTACTCTGCTGATCAGATGATTGAAAATGCTTGGTGTCGGTGTTGGGAAATTAAATCAGAGTGGGAGACGTGACAGCATAGCCTCTATAGATACAGTTTGTGTTTGACAATATACGGTACTTTCAAAGCGTAATTTCATTTAATCTTTAAACAACCTTATGAAGTAGTAGCGGCATTACCGTCCCGCTTTCGTTGTGGAAGAAATTTAAAGGGTGGAGCGCTCTCATTGTTTCATACTTTGTGGAGCTTTCAGTGGCCAGCTCGATTACTGTTACTGCTAAGAGTTAGTCATAGGCAGTGACTGGACTTGACCTGAGTCACTCAGTGTCCTTGTGTGGGCCGTGCCTTTACTGAACCTGAATTGAATAAACAAGGCTTGGACTTCTAGAGGCTCTTGAACTCACCTACACATTTCCCTTTCTCTTTTCCAGTTTCTGCAACAAGCCTCAGTGAGTCTGACAGTGAGAATGAAGGGAAGCCATGCAGCTCTGACTCTTTCAATGATGTGTTCAAAGCAGACTCACTCGTGGAGGGAACATCTTCTCGATACTCCATGTACAACAGCGTCTCCCAGAAGCTCATGGTACGCCAGCGCTCAGACCTCATTTCTACCTCATTTTCGTGGCTGCCACCGCAGTGTAAGAGAAGGGAGTGTGCATTGGAATAGAAAGAGGAGGAGCTGGGGCATGCGTTTCCTCGCTCTCCAGCTCCTGAGGTGTGGTGAGGTCACCTTTTGGAATCCCCACTGAGGAGTCATTGTAAGCATGGTATTAGTGTGTGGAAAGGCTTCCTGCTGTGAGCTTCTGCCTTAGTGAGTGGCCTCAAAAGGAGTACCTGAGCTCCTGTTCACACCTAGGTACCTAAGAGAAAATGGCCTGCGAGGCCTGACTCCCTTCACCAGTGCTCCTCCCCACTGGGGTGTCTGAGGAGGAGGTGGAAGGAAGCCCTCCCTTCTCAGCAGAACTCACGGGGTGCACAGAGGTCAGCGAAGCCCCCAGCCACCTTCACGCTGCCCTTGGAAGTGCCATCGTGATGGCTTCATTTTCTGTGGGCCTTGTATAAGAGTGACAGTTGCCCCTGCTGAAGTCACAGGTCAGAATTTAGTTTGGTGACCCCTGGATCTGGGCCTTGAGCCTTGTGGCACAGTCAGCCTCTGTCACTTGGGGCAGTGATCTGGCTGCTGTAGATTCTGTCCAGCTCTGCAGCTGTATTGCTGCGTACAGAGGGACTGGCTTTTATCTGGATTGGAGTCCTTTTATGAGATAAGAGTCTCTGTGGTTTGAGATTTGAGTCTTTGATCTTCGGAGTACATGGGCCTGGGGTCACTCTGCAGTCCAGCTTGTTCTTATTGAAAGCTGTGATTTTTTTTTTTTTTGAAGTGCTGGGAATAGAACTCGGGGCTTTTTCCCTGAGCTACATCCCCAGCTGGATTTTTGTTCTGTTTTTGAGACAAGGTTCTCGCTAAGTCACTGAGTTTCTCCAGACTGGACTGGAGCTTGTGATCTTCCTGTCTCAGCCTGCCAGAACCCTGGGATTAAAACGTTGTGACATTTAATGGTGTTTCTGTCCCAGACTCTGACTATTCTTTCCATACCCGAGTTTAAGAGGAAGCGAGGTTTTCAGTTAATCTCTTGATTAAATGGGTCCTGCCAGCCCTCATCGTCCTCAGTAAAGCTGTTTGAGTAGCTGCGCTGGAGTAGAAGTCACCATTGAAGCTGTCCCATTTTAAATTATGCTTTCTATCAGCCCTGCTCTGAATCTGCTTTGTAGTTAATCAGACAAATTAGCCGGAAGGCTGAGTTGTGCAAATGTCCAGTGAGATTCATGAAGTACTTCTGGTGCTTTTAATTATGGCTTTGGCACGTGCTCTCCCATCCATCAGCTTCGGTGTCCTAGACTTTCAGCTCCACCTATGGTTACCCTGTGATTTGTGTGCCCTTTGCCTTCCTTAGGCCAGGGGCCAACTTAGGCCTCACATGTTTATTCCAGGCTTAGCGCAGTGTCTGACATGGGACAGGACTAAAGAAATCTCTGTTGTGCTAAATTTTGCTCTATCACTTGTCTTTTTCAGGCCAAGATGGGCTTCAAGGAAGGAGAAGGCTTGGGTAAATTCAGCCAGGGTCGGAAGGACATTGTTGAAGCCTCTAATCAGAAGGGTCGGAGAGGCCTGGGCCTGACTCTGCAGGGCTTCGATCGGGAGCTGAACGTGGACTGGCGAGATGAGCCTGAGGTAACGGTCTGCAGTGGGGAGCAACAGGAGGCTTCCTGAGTTTTTGGAGGTGTGGCTTTCTGAAACCCTGTTAACAAACTGGACTTGGGAGACACAGTCTGAGCAGGGTGCTGAGGTTCTTACAAGGAAGGTGTTGGGGTGTCTGAGTGGAGCACGGGATCCTGGGGTTGATGACATAGCAGTTTGTTTCCTATGTCTGTAGTAGGAGGAGATGCAGAAGACAGGGTTTGCCTGTACAGGGAGAGCACTTAGTACACAGGTACAGCTCTGCATTAGAGCAGGAAGAAACCTTGTGAGGCAGGGAGCCCCCCAGCTGCAGGGATCTAGGCAGCCAGTGAGCACCCCTGAATGGGGGCTCCTCCTCACCACCACAGGGAAAGGCCGTCTGGGCTGTAAGCAGGTGCCAGGGCTCGCACTGCGGCCTGTCTGCCTTGGGTTTAGTCTGGTTTCTACTTGCAGATCTGTTTATTGCCTGACAGAGAGAAAGGCTGTTACTGTCCTTTTTATAGCACAGACATGTTGAAATTTTATCTTACTTATTTTTTTTTTTTAATTTTTAATTTTTTTTTTGCTCCGAATGCCTTCAGGGCTGGTTTGGCTGGCTTGAGTTGTGGGGATCGAACCTCAGCAACCTGAGCCTGACTGCTTTGTTGAAGCAGCCACTTAAAGAACTGAGCTACGGGGCAGGCCCCCATCTTATTTATATCTTACATTATTTCACAAAGGAACTGATGTAGGTAATAGTAAAAGCATCTAAAAATAGTGTTGAGAGTCCCATTGTAGAACCAAGGCCAGTGCCAGTGGAACACAAATATTGAGGCTTGTGCCTTGTTGCTGTAGCTGAGCTTGAGACGTGGCCTGAAGACCGGGAAGCAGCTGGTATTTGTCTCCCGCCATTCCAGGTCAGGGGAGACCTACTGAGGCTCCAGAGTGTGTGCTGACGCTGGCTCGGGAGCTGCTGGGTCTGAGCTGTTCTGCTGGCTGCCTTGGTTGGGAGGAGGGGGAGGGGCCGGCAGAGGAGCAGAGGAGACTGAGAGCAGCTGAGGACTTGGAACTGGCTGCTGGATGTCGGCTTTTGCCCTGGAAATGCTGTACCCAGAGCTTTCTTCATCCTCAGCTGTGCGAAAACAAGCACATTGCGTCTGGAGCATTTCAGTGGGGCAGGATTTGAATAGACTTGGTTCAACTTAAATCTGAAGCTTGCCCGTACAGTCCCTGATCTTAATGGAGAGAGACAAGGGTTAGCTTGCCCCAGTTCGCAGTGACCACAGTTCAGTTTTGCTCTTAAAGATGAGTGGCGAGTGAGTAAGTGGCCCCGCTGTAGTTGGTAGTCATTTTCTAGGGCAAATGAGTCTGGGTGGTCTGGCATGAGTGTGAATGTCCAGTCCTGGGGTCACTGCAGGGAGCACCTGCTCACAGCCCTGGGGTTCAGAGTTTGACTCTGGAAGTCTATGTTCAGACTTCCATCGGGAAGCCGAGTGGATATGTGCTTCACTTTTCTGCAGTTTGTAATTTACATTTATGGTTAAAGGTGGTGGATTTCATCTGGAGAAAGCCTGATTTACTGCCAAATTCATGGACAAAGACTTCAGTAATTTTTTCTTTTCAAATTTTCTCAGTTGATGGAGGTTGGTCTGCCCTCAAAACCTTGCTTTGTGGTGCCATGTTATGCCTTTCAGAGCGTGCAGTATTACCTTTAATCACATCGCCTCCGATTGTAACGGTGCCTCTCTCCTCCACACTTGCTTGGGAGGCCGTCTGTAAAGCCACCGTGCAGATTTTCGAAGGCTTCTCTAGCCCAGGGCCTCGGTCCTGGTGCACAGTAGAATCCCCTGGGGACTTCAAGAGCCCTACCTGTCCCGGTCTGGGAGCGGCAGAGTTATGCAGGCTGGAGTGTGGCCCCGGTGTCGGGAGCTCTGAAAGCTGTGCAGGAGAGTCTGGGGGTGACCAGAGTGAGCTGCCTGTTTTCCTATCAGGGAAAGTAATAGAAAAATCGAGAGGAAGCAGCCATTACAGATCCCACTTTCTGCTGTCTCGGCCTGGTGGAGGGGGAATGCTGTTTATCAGTTTTGGGGCTAGTTTGCAAATAACAGGTTGGAAGGCACCAGGAGGTGAGACTTGCTGCCTTTTAAGTCTTCCTGATGTCACTGCCTTTCATAAACTGCCACTGAGTGCAACAGCAACTTGCTAACGTCTCTGTGTCCTCACTGTTTTGATTTTTAACCCCTTGGGTTAAAGATCTGTCTTAGTTACTTTCTTTTTTTTTTTTTTTTTTCCTGCTGGGTTTTTTTTGGTACCTAGGATCGAACTCAGGACCTTGCACATGCCAAGCAAGTGCTTATGCCACTGAGCTGTCTCCCAGGCCCTGTTACTTTCTTGTTGCTGGGACAAAATACCAACAGCTACAAGATTAAGGAGGGAAGGTTTATTTTAGTTTAGGATTGGTGGAGGTTTACATCTGTCTAAGCTGTGTGGCAAAGGGGCGTGGCAGGGCGGACAAAGCTGGAGTGCTCAAAGCGGGATGCTTAGCCCCCTCCCCCACCTGGCTTCACCTCCAGCATCACACCCAGCTCTAAGCCTGTCATTGGACCGATCCATTATCACACACCCATGGTCCAGTCACCCCCCCCAAAGCTCCACCTATGAGGCTTTAGGGTGAAGATAGGTACAGGCTGTCACAGGATCTGTCTTATTTAACTTTCATTCAGAACACTTATATGTGCTAGGCTTGCATCAAATAAAATTGGAACAAATGGGAGACACCTTGAGGATCTGAAAGTTTCTAAGGACTCGCAGAATTGAGCTGCCCTTCAGAGTCAGCCTTCTGCAGCCTGGCACTTGCTTCTCGTAGCTGAGCACTGCACTTGGCGCCAGCACCTTTGGTCTGAGTTTCTCTGGGTTGTTTTGGGGGAGCCCTGGTGAGTTGGGGTAGAGATCCACAGATCTGACTTAGCTAATTTCCTTGACTTTGTTTTTTTGTAGCCCAGTGCTTGTGAGCAGGTGTCGTGGTTCCCAGAGTGTACCATGGAAATTCCTGACACTCAAGAAATGAGTGATTGGATGGTCGTTGGAAAGGTAGGATTTCAGGAAAACGTGCCCCACCCTCTGGGTCCGCTGACTTTTTCCATCCTTAATTTTAATGTGTGAATGTTATTTGCAGCTTAAGAAAAATGTGGCCCAGCATGGTGGTACATGCCTAGAATCCAGCAGTCTGGGAGGCTGAGACAGGAGGACTGCCAAGTTCTAGTCCAGCTTGGAAAACTCAGGGATACCTGTTTCAGAGGGGCTGGGAATGCAGCTCATCAATGTGAAGGCCTAGGGCTTGATCCCCCATTCCTTAAAAAGAGTGAATCCAATCATCCCAACAGGAATGAAGCTGTGTCACAGACAGTGCTTAGGTCTCTGTGTGTGTACGCTGGGGGCGTGGCCCATGGTTTTCCCTTTCTACTGATTTAACTTGAAAGGCAGACAAACACTGCAGTTCCCATCCCTTCCTTTGGGTACTTCTTGGAGTGGCTTATCCTGTCTGCTGGTCCTGTTTCCTGCTAGGCGTGGTTCCAACATAGAGGAGAAGATCCTGTCCCTGTCCTCAGAAACCTGTGGGGTTGTTACAGTGTAACCTCATTCTGGAAAATTGTGTAGATAAAGTAGAAGGCTGCTAAATCAGTGTTGTCTGGAGAGCTGCACTCAGTGCAGGGCTTGGCGTGTCCACAACCCTGTTGAGCCCGCAAGGACGAGGTGTCTTTCCCATGGTATGCTCCCATTGTTCCTCAGGTGGAGTGGCCAGAGGGTTAGATGTGTGGTATCACAGCTGATTGACAGGCAGGAGCAGTAAGTCTTGTTCTCTCCAGCCAGACACTGAAGAAATTTAGTCAATGGAAAATAGAACTACTCTCCTCAGCAAATTTTTATTTATTTATTTATTTATTTGGCAGAACAGGGTGGGGATTGAACTTAGGCCCTTGCACTTGCCAATTTTTTATTTTTTGAAATAAAGCTTATAAAATACAAATATTTATATTAATGTAGCACATTACTTTTTTAAGCTGAAATAAATATCAAATGTAATTTTACAACTGAGCTGGGGCTGGAGAGATGGCTCAGTGGTCTAAAGCACCTACTTAGAACAAGCTTAGCAAAGCATCAGGGACCGTGGTTCGATACCCCAGCACCACATGCCAGCCAGCCCCGCCCCCTGGTGGGCTGAGCTGGCCACACACACACACCACACACTCTCTCTCTCTCTCTCTCTCTCTCTCTCTCTCTCTCTCTCTCTCTAATAAATAAATAAATGAATAAAATTAAAAAAAAACAACTGAGCTATCGGGCAGGCCTCCAGTCAGGAATGCAATTTTAATTTGTTATGAACATGAATGTCTAACTCATGAACAAAAGCCATTTGGAGTCCTCAGTGTTTTTCTGCAGCACTGGGGATGGAACCCTGGACCCTGCACGTGTGAGGTGGGGGCCCTGCCCGAGCCCCTGCCGGCCCGCTGAGGCACAGAGCCTGGGCAGCACTGGTGCAGTGCTCCTGTCGCCCAGGCCGGGCGGACCCTACAGCTCTAGCCTGGGTTTCCACTGCTGCTCCTTCCTCTGCACTGCAGCCCTGCTCTCCTGCCCTGTGATGCAGGCGCAGGCTGTGCCCATGTCTTCTCCCTATTAGCTTTTCCCAGCCTCGGCAGTATGTTGGGGCTGGTTTCCATATGGCATGCTCCTCCAAGCTCCCTGGGGACCCCTTCATCCCAGAGCCATCTGGAGTATAGCCAGCGGGCCTCCGGTTGTCTCACCCGCCCCTCAGGGACTGCTGCTTCTCAGCTGGCGGGCCTGGAGCGCCTTCCTGCCCTGCTCCCTCGGAACCCTCATTACTTCCATCGCCCCCATCCCAGTTACACCAGGTCATGATTGTTTCTTCTCCCTTTAGAGAAAGATGAAGATTGAGGACGAGACGGAGTTCTGTGGGGCAGAGCTGCTCCACAGCATGCTGCAGTGTAAGGTGAGGCCTGCTGGGGCCTGTGCATGCTTGTGAGGTCTGCTTGTGTGCTCAGCTGTGGGGGAGCTGAAGCTCAGCTGTGTCCTGAGGGTGTAGAGACCTGCCACGCGTTCTTTTCCATGGTGAATGCTCACTTTGAAGAAATGGAATCAGCGATCGAGAAAGGACTTCTTGGCCTCACTGATAAGTTTATTGCAGTCCCCAGAGGGCGTTCTTTTACTAGTAGACAGACCTGGATTCAGACCCTAGCTATTCTGCTGTGTGACCTTGGACCAGGTGGCTCAGCTGAGTATTGGTTTCCTCTACAAAATGGGGAGAAGCTTCTTAGCTGAATGCTCTGGAAGTTAAATGAAGTAGTGGGTGTGAAGCGCCTGGGCGAGTGTGGCCTCCCCGAGGCACCTGTTGGCTCAGTCTTGGGTCAGGATGCTTGTGCCTGAGGCAGAGTGAGCCGGGGAAATGAAGCTTCATGCCAGCCTCCTGGAGCTTGCTCTTTGCAGATGTGGGCTCAGGAGTGGCTAGGGAAAGTGAGGAAGCTAGAAGGGGTTGGGGGGCTCCAGGGGGCATTAGAAGCTGCAGCAAACCCTCCAGGTGCGTGCCTCAGCTGAGCCTGGGCATCAGGTGTGGGTTTCCCACCAGTTGCTGCTGGTGCAGGGAGATACTTCCTGTGAGGTTTAGCAATGCCAAGAGGCAGCTGCATGTGCAGCAATAGGCGCCTCTGTGTTTTACCACTTTACAGGTGAGGGAATTGAAGGTCACAGTGATTTAGCATCTTGTCATGGGTCATGTGGGTCATTTCAGAGCTAAATGCAGTAAGAGACCAGTTTCTTGAGGGCTGTGAGTCAGACACTGCCAGTGTTGAAGACCCCTGGCCTCTCCAGAGGGGCTGGGAAGTGTTTACCTGGGCTTCTGGTGTCTTTGGGCAGACTGTGTTTGATGACCTGGACAGTGAGGAGATGCGGCGGGCTCGAACCCGGGCCAATCCCTACGAGATGATCCGAGGAGTCTTCTTCCTTAACAGGTTTGCCAGCTTTTCCCTCTCCATGTCCCTCCTTGACACGCACTGTGCCACTGATCCTGGGAGCCTCAGCTCTCTGTATCTGAAACTGAGTGGTACTTTTCTGTCTGGCTTTGTTGCAGGGCAGCGATGAAGATGGCTAACATGGATTTTGTGTTCGATCGCATGTTTACAAATCCCCGGGACTCTAAGGGGGTGAGAACTCGTGGTGCCGAGCGGACTGACGCTTCAGCGGCTCCAGGACTGCCTTTCACTTAGTGCTGGGAGGGCATCCTGCCCTGGCCGTGGGATGTGTTTGGCTTTTCACTCCCCAGACAGGGTCCTGCGGTGCTCCTGGGGTCCCAGGAGTGCACACATGCCACGTGTGCTTAAGATCTGTTCTAGCTGTAAGAGTTCTGCTTTCCAAGCGGCCGCTTACTGTTTCTGTCTCTTTGAGCAAGCTTTGCGTGAGATCGTGATTATACGGCTTTGGCCTTTCAGAGAAAGTGGTGGAGCGAAATGATTTCTACTCTGCTATATCTCATTTCTCTGAACCCCAACATTCCATAGTGATGGTGGAAAAAAGGAAATTTTATTGTAGAATTCCTTCTGGGTTGGAAAGCATTTTTTACCTTTTTTTGGGGGGAATCATTTTGAGGCAGGGTCTCACTGTGCAGCTCAGACTGGCCTTGAACTCACAGATACCCTTCTGCCTCAGCCTTTCTAGTGCTGGGATTATAGGTGTGCACCACCATGCGTGACTTTGAAAGCTTTTTTATCCAGTCCTGGAAAGTTAGTTTTGTTTGACAATAATAGGGCCAGGAGACAGCTGCCCCCAAACCTGTTTCTGCTTTGCTCATACTCACGCTGCTCCCTGCCCCGGGAACCTTAGCCCTAAGTTCTGAAATGTGTGAAGGTCCCCCCACTCAGCCCCTGCTGGCTCGCTCCACTGCGTGTTGGCCCTTCCAGCCTTTGCTCATTTTTCTTTCCCAGGGTTCCCTCCGTATCTTCCAGGACCAGCAGGCAGCACAAAAGGGCTCTTGGAATTAGCATCTTGAGAAAATTAGATTGATATAATGTTAATTTAATTTTCTGAGCTCCCAATGATTTCCTCTAAACCCCTGCCTGGTGGAGGAGCCCGTTAAGCTGATGGGAAATCTAGGCATCATTTTGGTCGTTTGAATGCAAACGCCTCCAGCAGCTGGTATTTGGTTATTGTCTTTTCCTGTCAGGAAAATGAAGTGGGCACCGGATTTTACCGTTCGGGGCGAGGGTGGAGATGGTAGTTACATGGGAAGAGGCGGCTGTGTGTGTAGTACTCGAGGCAGCTTTTTGACCTGAATTGATCATTAGTGGCTGCGGACAATTCCCCTTGCAGAGATCTTTCTCCACACTCCACTATAAGAAGTAATTTCTCCCAAGCCCTGAGTGTTTTTATCTCTGTGTTCCCCTGACGACTAGGGTGGCAGCCAAGCCCAGCAGGCCTAGTGGTTTTTTTGAGGCCTGCAGGGACTCCAGAGCAGTTCCTAGCAGTGGGAAGCTCGCACCAGGCTTGCCAGGCTCGCTGGTTCCTGGTTCGGCCAGATTAGATTGAGAACCAGACAACTGGATGGGAGGCGGGTGTGGAGAGGGTGGGGTGTGGGGACTGAGGGGCTTTAGAGGTCTCTGGTAGAAGGGGAAGAAACCCAGGGGGGAGAAGAAAGAGCTGTATCAAGAATTGGAAGAAAGAGGAAGGAAGGGAATTAAGGTCCTTGGGGGATATGGAAACGTGTTAGAAGCTGCTGCATTGTGTGAGGGATTTGTGTGCCTGGGAATATAGTTGAGGAAAACATTGTGAAATACTGTATTGGAAGACACGCTGAGTGTAGATCTTTGATGTTTGTTTTTTTGGCAGAACTGGGTATTGAACTCAGGCCCATGTGCTTGCTAGGGAAGCACTTATTCTACTGAGCCATCTCCCCAGCCCCTAGTGTAGATCTTTGAGTTTCAGTCATGTCTCAGAGAAATTAGATAGCATTTACAGGCATATGAGAGAGAAAGCGAGGGAAAAGGACAAGAGTTTTGACCCTGAAGAACCTCACCCTCTCTGTGCCTCGTCCACCCCAGCCTCAGGTGCCTGGCTTGAGTGGGGGGTGGGGAGGTGAGGCAGAGCAGGAAGACCAGATGCCCTGTGGGTCTTAGGTCAGCTCCTGTAGCAGAAAGATGCTGCTGGTGAAATCTGAGTGAAGTTGTGTTCCCTGTTAGCGATGTACCTATGCTGGTTTCGTCATTTTGCTGGACATACCATGCTTGTAGAAGGTGCTCACGAAACTGGAAGCTGGGGGGCAGGGATAGAAGCTCTGCACTAGCTTGCCAACCTTTGTTTAAAATTACTCCAGAATAAAAAAGCTAATTGAGGGCTTTAAGCAGTGCAGCAAGGAGCTAGGGAGAAGAGAAAGGCAGAGGCTGTGGCCCACAACCCAGGGCCTGAGCTTGGAGGGCTGACGGAAGCCCCACACTAGGGTGGGCCAGGATTGCCGAGCTCTGTGGCCAGACAAGGGGGCTTGTGAGTTAGCTGTGCTGCAGGCCTGCCGAAGACGGGTCCCTCTGGCTCTTGGCTTCTCTCTGTCTGTAACATGGGGTAAGCAGCAGCTGCTTGCGGCTGTGCTTATCCGAGCTGGAGCTAGGCCTGGCGGTGTGCAAGGTGTGTGGGGGTTTTGGGGTGAGCTGAGCAGCTCGCAAGGGCGGTGGTCTGACAGTATGTGTTCTGGGCTTGTGGCCCGGCTGGGTTTCCTCCTGTGTTCTCTTGTCCTCATTGAGCCATCTTCCCATCCTTTCCGCATCCTCTGCTTGCTCCTGCAGATGCCATTGGTGAAGGACCGGAACGCAGAGCTGCTGTATTTCGCCGACGTCTGTGCAGGCCCGGGCGGCTTCTCCGAGTATGTGCTGTGGAGGAGGAAGTGGCATGCGAAGGGCTTTGGGATGACCCTGAAGGGGCCCAACGACTTCAAGCTGGAGGACTTCTACTCGGCGTCCAGTGAGCTCTTTGAGCCCTACTACGGTAGGAAGCTGGGCGAGGGTGCCGGGAGGTGTGGCACTGCCCAGGGTGTAGCTGCTGTGGAAAGTCGTGTGTGCTTTCTCGGCTCTCTCAGCTTGGGATTCATGGTCCCTGTCATCAGGGTCAGGGTGAACCTTTGGGAGCAGTCAGAGATAGAAACAGCCCGCTGTGACACGGTGCCATAGGTTCACCACCACTGCTCTGGACTGTCCCATTTTACTCTAGCCCTGCAGCCGCAGGTCAGACCCTTGGTCGGGTAAACGCTCCCTTGCTGGAGCTCTTTCCTTGTGACAGGAAGTGCTGAGACTGCCTGGGCTCTGGCTGAGAACTGGCAGGGTTATTATAGACACCCACTGTGCCTGTCTGCAGCCGTGTGTCCCCACTGTGGTGTGTAGTTGGAGAGAGAAAATGCAGCCCCCCCCACCCCCTTCCCTCTGCTTCCTCATTCTTGTGTTCTGGCCGAAGTCCTAAGCCCTTTCTTAATGGCCCCTGGTAAGAGGTTGATACTGGTTTCTGTGCAGGTGCTTGAGACCCTTCTGGTTCCGTTTTGACTCTTGGCCACAGATTTCCTCTGGACTCCTTTATTACAGCAGGGACCCGTGCTTCCTTCTGGCCCATCCTTGTAGGCAGCCTCACAGAATGAGCCCTGGGTCTAAGTCCCCTGATGTTCAGGGTGGGTGAGCTCATTGTGACTCTTGTGTCCTGCCAGGTGAGGGTGGAGTTGATGGAGATGGCGACATCACCCGCCCAGAGAATGTTACCGCATTTCGGAACTTTGTCTTGGATAACACAGACCGCAAGGGAGTCCACTTTTTGATGGCTGATGGGGTAGGTGACATTTTCTCCATACTGGTTCCTTAGGGATTTGTTAATTAATTAAATTTCTTTTGGTTTTGTTTGGTTGAGACAGGGTCTTGCTTTGTAGTTCAGGCCAGCCTCGAACTCGCTGCGTAGCACAGACTGGCTTCAAACTGTCAGTGATCCTCCTGCTTTAGCCTTCTGAGTGCTGGGATTACAGACATGCATAGAATAGCTATGTCTGGTGCAATTTTTGTAATTCTGTTAAAGCTATAATGTGGATACCCCTTAGCTCACTTTGTTAAAGGGCCTTGGTCATGAAACCACCAGTGAAGTGGACTGTGACTGAAATTGAGGAGGCAAAACCCAGGGAGACGCACATTGCTGTTTGGTAGCTGATACTGCCCTGGCGGAGGCCTTTCGGACAGGGTCTCACTTGAGCGTCTCAGAGGCCAACAGATGGGCTGTGACCAGGCGCAGCCCCCAGCAAGTCCGAAGTGAATGTGCAGGGGCTTTGTCTGTGGGAGTTGCTTGGGGTGTGGCGGGAGCCCAGCGCAGCTTTGCCACGGCAGGGCCGGCAGCTTCGCTCTTGGCGCTGGCAGCTGCAGGATCTGGAACTGCTTGCCAGGAGGCAGGCAGTGTGGCCGTGCTGCCTGCAGACTGAGGACTGTGGGCTCCGGCAGTGGGAGGGCTGGCTTGGGTCTTCTTGCTGTTTGTGTTTGTTTTTGCTTTGTTTTGTTGGCTCTGTAATTATAAACAGGCATGCATTTTGAGATGCATCTGTCTGGAAGACACTGCTAAACATTTTTTTAATTTTTAAAATTGCTAAACAGTTTTTAAAATTCTGAGTCATTTAGCTATTACTTTTGTAGGCCTGAATCAGTTTAATAGATCACCTTTCTACTTTTTTTTTTTTTTTTTTGAGGCATGATCTTGCTGTCCTCGAAGTCATCGATCCTCCTGCCTCACTTCCCTAAGTGCTGGGATTATAGGTGTGCACCACCACCATGCAGAGCTACTGTTTGTTTTTTTTTTTTAATTATAAAAAACATAAAATATCTTAACTATTCTAAGTGTACAATTCAGTAGTATTAATTATATTCACACTGTTGTGTACAGATTTTCCAAAATTTTTTCATTTTGCCAAACTGAAGCTACGTACCTGTTGCACAGCTCCCTCTCCCTTGCCCCTGCTCGGGCCTCTTCCGCCTCTCAGCACCCTGCTCCCTGCTCCCTGCTGGAATCTCCCAGCAGCATTCTCTGAGTAGACACCCCAGCCAGAGAATCGTCCGGAGAGGCTGGAGTAAGACTGTAAGGAAATCTTTGGCCAATAGGAAGCCAGATTCCTGTGATGGTCAGAGTTGGCGTTAACTTTTCCATGTTACTAGACAAAGGCCTGGGCAGTCAGCTTAGTGGCCTAGTGGGCCCAGCAGAATCCCAGAGTGCCGATTCCTTGGGCCTTGCCTCGGTTCTGCTTCCTCGGCCTAGATTCCCTGCTAGGTTAGATGTTTCCTGCCCTGGTGGCAGTCCTGTGTTCTACCTCCCATGGGCTTTCTTGGAAGGGCAGGCTGAGTTTTCTCCTTGGGGGTGATGGAGCAGAAAGCGCCCTAGTTTAGTGGTCCCAGCTCCCCACCCCGCAGCCACATGACGTGTTGTGTCAGCAGGCAGCAGAGTCTTAGAGGCGCACAAGCACTCATGGGAAAGTGGAGGCAGGGCGCTGTGCTCAGCCCTGGTGTTTCTCTCCACCTGACCCTTGTGCTCTGGCTGCAGGGCTTCTCCGTGGAGGAGCAGAAGAACCTGCAGGAGATCCTCAGCAAGCAGCTGCTGCTGTGCCAGTTCCTCATGGCGCTGTCCATCGTTCGCACAGGTGACACATCTTCCAGACACATCTTCTACTGTTTCCTCTAGGAGTCCTTGGTTCAAAGAGCCAGCCCAGGAATTGTGTGGAAGGCTAAAAACAGGCAAAAAACAAATAGCGTCTTGTGTCAGGCAGCTAGACTAGGAATTTAGGGAGAACAGACACCAGCCTCTCCAAGGTCCCCTCCAAAGCTGATTGTCCCAGAAATCATTCAGGGTTTAGTGCTCAGGGTCTGGCTTAGTGTTTTCCTGCCTTCACAGTCTCTCCTGCACCCTGGAATTAAGCCTCTGACACTGCTGCTGTTTTCTGTCCCATCCAGGAGGCCACTTCATCTGTAAGACCTTTGACCTCTTCACCCCCTTCAGCGTGGGGCTCATCTACTTGCTCTACTGCTGCTTTGAGCGCGTGTGTCTCTTTAAGCCTGTTACCAGCCGGCCCGCCAACTCTGAGAGGTGAGGCCATCCTCCCCATCTGCCCTGCACGGCTGGACAGCAAATCCCAAGCCTCTTCCTGACATGGCTTCTCAGTCTGTGCTAAGAACCAGGACTCGGAGGTGGGATCAGAGCAGTGGTGGGGAGCCTGTGGCACGCAGGCCATGGCAATCTGCGTGTGTCTTTGAAAACTCTCAGATGTTCGCTGCCCCTGGATTAGAGCCCCTAGGAGCAGGACCTGTGGGTCTGGGAGGACCTGAGCTACACCTGACTGGCTTTTGTCTTCATGCTTCTGTGGCGCACTTGGGGGCTTGGTCCATCACAGGGACACTTGCAGGGACACAAGCTGGGAATCGTTGAGGTGGTCATCTAGAGGTACTGCTATTATTGCAAGTGGCATCCCAGGTGGGGCAGAGCACACACATGAGGAGGGTAAGGACAGCCCGTTAAAATGACCAGGCAGCTTATTAGAAACAGTTTTGGGGCTGTGCCTGTAGTCTCTCGCTGGGTCTGCAACTCACGGCTGAGGTGGTTGTCTGATGTGGCCCATTGGGCAGCAGCAGCGCACAGGTAGACATGCAGCTGACGTAAGAAGGCAGGACACAGGTGTCTGCAGTCATGTCTGTGCTGTTATTTGAGCGTGAACGTAGGATTGGGCAGAGACTGTCTAGCTTGTCGATCTGCAGGGGCAGAGGGGAAGGTGGGCCAGGGAAGCCCTGCCCTGTGTAGCGAGTGACAGGCCGCCTCCTGCAGGTACGTGGTATGCAAGGGCCTGAAGAGGGGCACGGATGACGTGCGCGAGTACCTCTTCTCGGTGAACATGAAACTCAACCAGCTCCGAGACACCGACTCTGATGTCAACCTTGTGGTCCCCTTGAAGGTGATCAAGGAGGACCCCGAGTTTATGGACTACATGATCCGCTCTAACGAGAGGTAAGCCGCCTGGCTGGCTGCTGGGCTCCACTGGGGTGTTGGACTCCAGAGGATGAAGGATGAGTGGTTGGCTCTTGGTATCCCTTTGTCACCCTAGGACTTTGGGGCCCTCGTCTTGTCCCAGTGTCCTTTACCAAGGGTGGCTGGTTGTGGTGGGCCTGCCCTCAGGAGGCTGCACTCCCTAGGATGCCCAGGAGAGCAGCCTGTGTCTGTGGAGGCAGGACCACTTGCCTTGGCTTGCTGCTGTGTGCAGAAGCCCAGCATGGTGTGGCCCTATGGCGTTCCCTATGTGGAGGTGGGAGCACTACCCAGAAGTGCCCACACCGGCCAGCTTGGGAAGCCTGGGCTCTTTCATTGCCCCCAGGCTGCAGTGCAGTCATTTAAAGACAAAAGCCACGGTTGTTGGCTCTGCTCTCAGTGGGCAGGCCTTAGAAAAAGGTTTTTTGAGGCAGTTTGGAGGCTCGTAAGGTAGCATGGATTCACTAGCAAGTACTCTGCTGCACGTATCTTTGGAAAGACCTTATCTCAGTGTCCACCCCGAGCCTCCGGGAGTTCTGAAAGGGCAGAAGTCTGCCCTGCTGTGTCTGTCTGCTCCAGCATCACTCGTATTTATCTTTCCGTGGAAGCCCATCTCCAGAACAGTTCTAGGCAGCAAGTAGGGTTGTTTTGTTTTGTTAGTGCTGTAGGGCTCTGTAACACTACAGTGTTGCAGTGAGCGTGGCCACGTGGCAGGAGCTGACGACTTTTTAATGCTTTCACTGGTAGAGTGATGCACAGCCCTATAACCAACCACTCTTCTTTCTTTTTAAGAAGGCTGAGGTGTGCTTTTGTAAGTGAAGTGCAGATGGCAAGTGTACGCTTCATTCAGTTTTGACAGATACACGTGTAAGCTGCATCCCTGGTAGGGTGGTTCTGCATCCCTCGGATTTCTCTGTGCCCCTTCCTGTCTGGCAGACCCACAGTAGCTGCTCTTCTTTCTTTTCTTTTCTTTCTTTTTTTTTTTTTTGCTCTTCTTTCTATCATCACAAGTTACTTTTGTCTGTTTTAGACCTTTGAGCAAGTGGGCTACGTGCACATGTGCATTTATGTCAACATTTTTCCACACCATGTTTTTGAGATTCATTCATGTTGTGGTCCTTTTTATTGTGGTGAAGTGTATCATCAGTCAATGCTTACTTAGAAGCATACAAGTTACACAGATACATAAGAAATTACAGGATCGGTTCACAGTGGCCACCCGAAGAGACTGGTGAGGAAGAGTGCACGGGGTCTGTCTGCACCCTGGAGACCGAAGGCTCCAGTCACTGGAGCTCCCTTCCGTGGCCTGTGTGCGTTGGAGTCTGCATCAGGGTGATGGATCTGCACTGGAAGCCAGGAGGCACATCCAGGCTGACGGTGCAGATGCCTCCTCGGGTCGGTCCTTGATTTCCCCTTCTGCCATCCAGGCGATAGGCCCCCAGGGTGGGTCTTCCACACCTGGGCTGTGGAGTTGCCGGCCAGCTTAGTTGAGCTTCTCTTACCCAAGTTAACACAGTCAGCCATCACAAGTAGTAGTTAAGTATATGGATATATACTATAACTTATTCTTCTATTTATGGCTTCTTGAGGTATTTCCTGTTTGAGGCTTGTCTTAGTTATTTTTTTCATTGCTGAGACAAAATACCCAACACCCAAAGATGAGGGAGGAAAGGTTTATTTTGACTCGCAGTTTGGAGAGGTTTCTGGTCCGTAATCATCTGGCTCCAAGGCAGAGTGGCGCGTGGCAGAGGAGAGACAGTGCATGGTGGGCAGAAGGTCCCGAGCTGCAAGCACTAAGCCAAGACCACAGCTCTGTCTGCCCCTTAGATGTACCCACCCTGAATCCTATTTCGTCTTTGGACCAGCAGTGCAAACCCTCAGTCCAGCCACTTCCACAGCTGCACCTATGACCACATGCAGCTTTAGGGGTGCATCTGGATATGAGGCATAACCAGGCTGCTGTGGACGTCGCTGCTGCAAACCTGCACAAGGCTTTCAGAGGACAGATTTCTCATTTCTCTTAGCTGAATACCCATGAGTGGAAAGCCTGAGTCATAAGGGAGATATGTGTTTAACCTTTTGAAAATGCTATTCAGAAAATGAACTGATTATAGAGAAGTTTGAAGTTCTGATTATTCTACATCCTTGTCAACATGTGGTACTGTCAGTATTTTAGCCATTGTAGTGGCAGTATAGCACATTATTGTGGTTTTATTTGTATATTTGTGATTACCAATGCTGAGCCCTTTGTATAGGCTATTATATGTCTTTTATGAGTATCTTTTTCTTTCCTTTTTCTTTTTTGAGGTGTTGGGATCCCACCCACCACTGAACTGTAGCTCTAGCCTCTGTTGAATGGTTGTTTGACCACTTTAAAAATTGATTTGTTGGGCTGGCCAAATAGCTCAGTGGATTAGAGCACTTGTAAGCAGGCACAGGGGCCTGCTGTGGACGTCGCTGCTGCAAACCTGTACAAGGTTCAATCCCCAGGCCTGCCATGCCAACCCCACCCCCAGAGTGGGCTGAGACAATTGAGACTGGGCGTGGTGCGCGCGCCTGTAATCGCAGCTCTTGGGGGAGGCTGCAAACAGGAGGATCCGATTTAGTAGTGAGACCCTGAACACCCTGTAGACCCTTCCTTAAAATATAAAAAAAAAGAATAAATAAAAATTGATTTGTCTTTTTTTTTTTTGTGGCGGAACCGGAGATTGAACTCAGGCCCTTGTGCTTGCCAGGGAAGCACATATTCCACTGAGCCATCTCCCCGGCCCTGTCTTTTTATTAAGCTACAGGAATGGTATATTCTGGATATAAGTCCTGAATCAGTGTTTTTTTTTTTTTTTTTTTTGGTGGAACCGGGGATTGAACTCAGACCTTTGCGCTTGCCAGGGAAGCACTTATTCTACTGAGCCATCTCCCCGACCCCTTTGAATCAAATATTTGTGGTGTGAATATTTTCCTCCAATCTGGAGCTTGCTTGATCATTTTCCTAAATGGTATCTTTTTTTTTATTTTTGGTATTTTTAGGACAAGGTACAGGGTCTACAGGGTCTCCCTGCTTAGATCGTACTTAGATCAAACTCATAGTGATCCTCCTGTTTGTATCCTCCTAAGCACTGGGATTATAGGCCGCACCACCACGCCCATTCTCAATCACTATATCAGAGCTCCCTGGGGGCGGGGCTGGCACAGCCGACCTGGGTATTGAATTCCCCGGCCCTGCATCTGCCTAAGCAGGCGCTTTAATTCGCTGAGCTATTTGACCAGCCCTTAACATTATCTTTTGATAAATGTTAATTTTTTTTATTTTATTCTTTTTAAAATAGCTAACATGAATATTATTTGCATTTATTTTATGCTTAATTTATTCCCATGCTATAAGTTTTTGTTTCTTCAGTTGCTTCTGGGATATCTTTTTCTTCTGTGCAACTTCATCCTCTGATTTAGGAACAGTTTGTTCCTTTTCAGTAAGGATCATCTCAGTATGGCAGGGGGAGCTCATGTATGGGTAATCCGGCCATGAGCTCTATAAGTACGGCGGCGCATCTTGGGTGCTTTGTTCACCTGGGTATGTTCAATAGCCAGAGAATCTACATCTAAACCCTTCAGTTCAGCTTTACTCTGCATTTTTGAGCATGTGCAGCAAAAATTCAGCATTCTTTTTGGGCCACTGACCCTGCGTCTAGCCCCACTGTTTGGCCTGGGCACACCTACCAACTCCACCATTGTATAAATGGCACACATTGGTTCTTAATGTGACATCCTTCAGATACTTGGTGGCCTTTCAGATATGCATATCCTTAATGGCCTGGGCGGTTACATGCTTGGTCTTAAAGTGAATGTGAAGATTTGAGCCTCTTTTTTTTTTTTTTTTTGTATTTTAGGGAAGGATCTACAGGGTGTTCAGGGTCTCATTACTAGATCAGACTCATAGTGATGCACCTGTTTACAGCCTCCCAAGAACTGGGATTGTAGGTGCGCATGCCCAGTCTCAATTTTGGTCTCAGAGTACCCTGGGGGCAGGGCCGGCACCACAGGCCCTCCGGGGATCGAACCCCAACCCCTAAGCCTGCTTTCTGGCCCTGAGCCTCTTGATTTGCATGATTTTTGTGGGACTTTCTGGGTTGAGAGTTGCGAACCATTTTCACAGGTCACTTCAGGCTGCTCACAGGAATAGCTATTTTATTCTTTTTGATGAGCCAGGGCTCATATGCTGGCTCTGCAGTGAACTGTATCCCCAGTCCATATTTTTTAAATTATGGTAAAATATACACAAAACTATCATTTTAACGATTTCAGAGTATGCTATTCTGTTGGGTGTGGTGGTACACAGTTGTAATCCCAACACTCAGGAGGCTGAGCAAAGAGGATCACAGGTTTTGATGCCAGCCTGGAATACATGATGAGTTCAAGGTCCGAAAAAAACCCCAGTGTCATTAAGTACAGATTTGAATTTATTGTGCAGCCTTTGCTAGCATACATTTCCAGAACATTTTTGACCTCTCAGCCGCTCTGCGTCCACTGAGTAAAAGAACTCACTCATTTTCCCCCTTTCCTCAACCCCTGTGAGCTGGTGCACTTCCTGTGTCTTTGAATTTGATGCCCCTAGGTATGTCATAAAATAGAATGAATCATACAGTATTCTTTCACTGCACTAAGTAAAACATGTGGGAGCATTTGTTATAATTTCTTTCTGTGTACATGTGTGTGGCCCCAGGGACTGACCCTAGGGAACAGTGAGCTACACCCCCAGCCCTTTGTGATTTTGTTTTGAGACAGCGTTTCACTAAGTTGCCCAGGCTGGCCTGAAACTTGCAGTTTTCTGGCCTCAGTCTCTCCCTTGTCTGGGATTGTTGTTTCTGAGGGCGAATGGCGTTGTACTGCATGTGTGTGCCGCGTTCTCTTTACTGCATCTGTTCCGAGACACCCGGCTCCTTGCCGTCGTGGAGCTGCTGCCAGCAGCAGCGGTGTGAATGTATCTG